GAGAAGTTTTTTCAACAAGCTCCAGCAGCGGGGGCCAGGGGAGGGACTCCCCGACTGGACGGCGCGATGGGAAGCACGCGAGCGGGATCTCCTGTCACAGCTGAGGCCAGTTGAAGACACGGTGGAGGAGGTCATCGCAGCGCCGTTGAGGACATGGCGGTACCTTCGCCGTTCGCGGTTGACGCCAGTGGCCGGAGGCGAGGTCACTGCGATGGCGGTCGGCGACTACGATTTCGACAGAACGTACAAGGCACTCTGCATGCGGCACCCGCTGGAGGCGCTGAAGGAGCTCGACGGGGTCCGCGACAAGAAGGACAGGCGTGCCAGGTTCTTCGGCGAAGCCGAGGAAGCCGACCAAGAGGTCAACGACTTGGATGGCCGGTCCGAGATCGCGGACATCGTGGATCAGCCGGTGCATTTGGCTGACGAGGAGGACGCGCTGCTGCTGGATGACACCGAGCTGTTCGACGAGCCCGAGGACGGGATCTACGCGGAGTTCAAGCAGACTGGCCGGAACTTCAAGGACGCCAGGGACCTCATCAGGAAGCTGAAGGTCGCGCGGGACAACTGCCCGGTGCTGGCGCCGCGCCCTCCTGAAGGACCTCCACGGCCCCGTCCTCCTCGGGGCGGCAAGGGTGGACAAAAACCTGGACCTGTGCGAGACCGGCGCCGGATGCGGTGCTTGGCTTGCCGCAAGTTCGGGCGCCAGGCCAAGGGCTGCCCTGAGAGAGCCGAGGGGCAGGGCAAGCAGCAGCCTAACGAGACGAACTCGTTCGCGCTCCTTGAGCTGGGCGAGCTGGTGCTTCTTCTGGACTACTCAGGCGGCATCTGGGCGATCCTCGACTGCGGGGCGACGCGAGGCCTCATCGGGGTCACGATGGCGGAGTACCTGGCCTACGACATGAAGGTGAAGCACGACCTGGAGTTCAACCTGGCTGAGACTTCGCAGTGCTTCACGTTCGGAGACAGCCAGCGCAAGAGCTCCATGGGTACTCTGGCGGGCGACATCTTCCTCGGCGACGGCAAAGAGACGATCGAGATCTCCATCATGGACAACGGCGCGCCGCTGCTGATCGGGATGGATATCCTTGGGCCTGAGCACACTGGCGCCCACATCGAATGCGGGAACGGCTACTTGATGATGCCGAAGATCTTCAACCGCATCTTCCATTGCCGCAAGATACCGAGCGGCCACCTCGCGATCAACGTGGCGACGCCTACTTGGTGGCAGCAGGTGCCGCAGAGGCCCCCGATCTCCGACGCGGCCGCCAAGTGCCACACCTTGGAGGACCAGGAGGGCCAGACCGGGCTCGTGGACGCAGCTGCACAGGAGGGCTCGGATGAGACCCAGACGGGCGCCGCGGAAACGCTCTCGAGCTAGGGGCAGCGCCCCTGGTGGACCCGAGGAAAGCATAATCCACTAGTCCATTGGGCGGGCCCGATGAGAATCCTGAGCGGTCGTTCTTCAAAGATGGCCCGAGGGATCCCGGGGAGCTCCTCCCGACAGATGCGGTTCTAGCTCCCCCCGTCGTTCCTGCAGCGCCCTCGTGCTCCTTGCAAACACCTCTGCGATATCCCCTACGGCCCCTCCTATGCAACGAAGGTCCCCACACGGCTACTCCTATTCCGTGTGCTTCATTGAGGATCCCAGGGGGCGCGACTGCAACTACTCCGAGGACTCCAGGAGGTTCGACATCGGCGACTCCGAAATCTCCAGCATCACCGAGGGTTTCTTGGGAGACGTCTTCGGATCCTAGGCGATCGAGCCCGACGATAACGAAGTCACCGACATCATCTGGCATACAGACGAGGGCGAGATCGAAACCTCCGAAACGACCGCCAATACCTCCCTCCGATCCTGATGACTGTGATGCGTACCGAGCGCTTTCGGCTCGAAAGGGTCTTCAGTCCAGAAGACACCTTCAAGTTCCATATTCTCTATTTTCAGCGGATGGAATGTCGCCGTGGCACAGACTCGTCGCCTGCGGGTGCGCCACCGCCGCCTTCGCCTGCTCAGATGCACAGAACGACGCCATTCGTAGCTGCCAACAACTTCGACAGCCATCACGCCTGCTCCCGCTCAGGTTCAGCACGAGGCCAGGGTGGTCCAAGGCGAGTGCGCTTCCGTTTCTCCAAAGGAGGTGGTTCCGGGCGCTGCAGGAGCCAACCCCGCGGCGACGCTCGACCAGGCGGCCAAGTCCAAGGCCAAGGGCTTCCAGAGGTGCGGATGCTGCGGCCAACCGGGTCGCAAGAGGAGCGGATGCTCGTGCGCGGGCGGAGAGACGTACTACTGCCTCCTGGTGGTGGCCAGTCTGCCCTCCCTGAACTTCGCGCAGGACTATCGACCCCCACCGCGGAAGCACCAACAGCCTCAAGCTGGTGCTCCAGAAGTTCCGCCTATGAGATCGGCAAGCCCCGAGGCCAGCTGGCTCTCCGGGACCGAGGTGATCTACATGAGGTGGGGGCGCGTGTTGAAGAATATTCAGACGAGCACGAGCCCTCATCGGAATCCTGCGAGATGCTGGGCGACACGCCCGACAAGGACGGGACCACCAAGAGAGGCCGCGAGAAACTCTGTGTCGCGAGGACCTGGACGTCCTGCAGGGCGCGATCGACCAGTACGACAGCAGCTGCAAGAAGGACATCGGCGACGACGTCGACTACCTCGCCCGTCGCGGACGCTTTTGACCTCGTGGAGGTCTGCACGCCACCTGCGTCGCGTCTGGCCCAGGCGGTGCTCGACCAGGGTGGCCTCGCCTTCCGCGCGGGAGTGCGCGACGGGTTCGACATGTCCACCAAGACGGGGGTACGCCGCTTGGTGCGATGGATTCGTCAACGCCGACTTCGGCGGATCGTCATGGGCCCCCCGTGCACCGCCGGTTGCCAGTTGCAAAACTGGAACCAGAAGACACTTGAAGATCGATAGCGACTTTACAAGAAGGTGCAGCAAGCTCGGCGGATTCAATTCGGCTGCGAAGCGATTATGTCAGTTGGACTCCAGCACCCGGGGACGGACGTTGATCTCGAACAACCGCATCGCTCACAGCTGGGCCCGTTCGGACGCGCTCATGCGCATCAGAGAGCAGACCTACGAGACGCTGGTCACCGGCTGCGCCTACGGCCTCATGTGCCCTCGCAGCGGACGCCATCTCCCGAAGGTCTGCCGGATTTGCTCCACCGGCCCCGAGCTTCAGAGGGCGGTCGGCAAGAGGTGCAGCAACCGCCCTGGCCGACATGACAACCGCGAGCACGGTGAGATCCTGGGCGGCAAGATCGTTGCTTCTGCTGCCTTCTACCCCGAGGCCATGCGCAAGGCCTGGGCAAAGCACGCGCTACGAGCTGGTGGCGGCGCAACGGCAGGGGCCTCAGCACTACTGGCGACCGACCATGAGGACGACGACCTGATCTTCGAGGGCGACGACGCAGACCAAGAGACAGAGGATCTACAGGCGTCCGACGCGGAGTTCGACGGGGATGACTTCGAGGCACTTTGCAAGGAGGACGGCCACATCGCCGCCAAGGAGGCGCAGGAGATCGAGCTCCGTCTCAGCCGTCTCCATCGTAACCTTAGCCGTCCCAGCGCCCGTGCCATGTTCGAGATCCTGAAGAATTCGGGCGCCAGCCTGCAGGTCCTGAACATGGTCAAGAACTTCAAATGTCACGCGTGCGACTCCTCCGTGTTGCCGAAGGCGTTCCGAACTGCTGCTGGCATTTAGATCCCTGAGGTCTTCGAGGTGATGGGAAGCGTCGGTCGCGAGTGGACCGACCCGGTGGACGACGCGATCTAGCTCCCGACGCTGAACCTAGACGAGGGATCAGGGCTCACTCAGGTCACCGACCACGGCGACAAATCCCAGTGGTCAGGCAACAGGTCGGCCGCAGATGTTCTCGAGACCTGGAGATCTTGAACGAATCACTATCGAGTGCCAAGTCTGGTGCGATGTGATGCCGAAGGGTATCATCGGGCCGAACTTACCAAAAGCTGGCGCAGTTCCCGCGGCATCGACGTGGTCATTGCTCCTGGAGAAGCCCATTGGCTCATGGAAGGTGGAGCGCAGGATCCAGCTCTTCAAGCGCACCCCCACAAAGTTCCGGAAGCAGAACCACGACTGCGACGTCGACGAGGCCATCAGCTGCATCATCCACGCCATCAACGACCTCGACAAGGTGGGGAGCCATTCCCCGTTCGTCCACGCGTTTGGCGCGGGAGGTGCTCAGTCCCCAGGGAACTCCTTCGCCATCATCGACGACAGCCACGGCGAGACACGCGAACAGAGACGACTCTTGACACGCCAGAGCTTCATAGAGGTGGAGCGTTCGGAGCGACGTCGCCATGCTGAGCACGCGCGAAGTCGCGTTGCGACCCGCTGGAACACTGGTGACCTCGTCTACTACTGGCGCAAGGGCCGCGGGCCCGCAAAGGCAAGGCCCGGCCCGCGTGTTGGTTCGGGAACAGCGAACGCTGGCAGGCTCCAATCGGCCTACCTCAGTGGTCGGGATCTCACGCGGAGATGTTCTACTGCTGCGTGCTCCTGAGCAGCTGAGGCCTGCCGCCGAGGCCGAGCGCGCGGTCGTGGAACTCAACGACATGGAGAAGCGTGGGGCATCCATGTCTGACCTGATGAAGGTGGCTCGCCGCGGTGCGTCCGAGGACCTCTCCAACGAGAGCCGGCCCAACATTCAGCACTTCGTGCCTGGCGAGCTACCGGAGACCCCCAACGACACCGAGCCGATGGAAGCAGAAGCGGGCGACCCTGGACTCGAAGAAGCACCTTCCGAACCTGCCGGCGAACCTACGCCGCCAGAACCGACGCCACCTTCTCCTTCCAGCAACTCGACCATCGAGCAGCCAGTGTCCTAGCAGCCTCGACTGACGTCCCCTACGGCGACATCACCTACGCCACCGTCGGACCCACCCGGGCGACGTTGGCGCATGTACTCGACGGACGAGGAAGCCACCTACCGAGCTCCACCAGCTGATCGCCGCCACAACCGACCAGGTCCTTATTTTGAGGGCAAGCCGCCCTCCACGGACATCACCGACCCGACCGACGACGAGCTCTTCGCGGGGATCACCTTCGACGGGGCTGCGAGCAGAGCAGCATTCGAGTTCATCGATGAGAACACGACGTGCTACTTCGACATGCTGAAGTCCGAGCTTGCCGATAGTGAAGGTCGTCGCAGGCTCACTACCCAGATGCTGGACTGCTTCGTGGCGAAACAGAAGCAGAAGGACAAGATCGAGTTCCACTGGAGCAAGCTGTCCTCCTCCGAGAAGGACGAGTTCTGCAAGGCTATGATGAAGGAGGTCACCAAGTGGAAGCAGTACAAGGGCTTGCGACCTGTTCCGATCTCTGAGGTGAAGGACCCTGCGGGCGTGATTCGCTGTCGGTGGGTGCTGACCCGCAAGAGCGACGGAACTGCGAAGGCTCGCTTCGTTCTCCTCGGATTCCAGACCAAGGACATTGGACAGGAGCCGACGGCATCGCCGACGGGCTCCCGCGGGGCTAGGAACATCCTCCTCACGGTGGCGGCCGCGCACCCGTGGAGCATCGTCAAGGGCGACGTCACCAACGCGTTCCTCCAGGCCAACGACCTCAAGAAGGACCTCTTCTTGGAGGCGGATGAAGCACTCTCGGCAACTTTCGGCGTCCAACCTGGTGAAGTCCTTCGGGTCGTGAAGCCGGGCAGTGGCAGCAGAGAGGCACCAAGGAAGTGGTGGCAGACTGTGAAGCTGGATTTCGCGAAGCTCGGTTTGCAGGCATGCGACTTGGAACCTTGCCTCTGGTGCTTGCGCTGCCCCGAGACCAAAGAACTTCTGGGCCTCGTGATGCGCCACGTGGACGACTTCATCCTCTGTGGTGACCGAAGCCACCTCGCTTGGCGAAAAGCACTGAAGGGCATCAAGGAGCTCTACACCTGGGGCACCTGGGAGGACATGGACGACGCGATCGACTCCATCGAGCAGTGCGGGGTCTCGATCGTGGCGAACGACAGGGGCTTCTTCCAGCATCAGCAGAGCTACATCTACAAGCTGAAGGAAATCTTCCCGAAGCACCCGAAGGCTCGACCCAGCGATCGATTGTCAGAAGCGGATCAGAATACTGTCTGCACCTGGTGTGGTGCGTTATCTTGGCTGGGCGTGAATACACTACCATGGGTTTCCGCGTGGGTCGCACACGTACAGAGCAAGATCCCTACCGGCGACTACAAGCTCCTCGGGATCGCCAACAACATCACCAAGATGGTCAAGGCCAACAAGACCGACGGGATCCAGATCTTCCATCACAGTATGCCTGGGTGCGGACCCGGGCCTCCTGACTTTCGGATCTTCACGTGGTGCGACGCTGCCTGGGCCAGCCGACCAGATGGACAGTCTCAAGGCGGACATGTCACGGCGCTCAGCACGTCCGAAGGGCCCTTCCATCCACCACGTCTGCGACTTCACGGTCCTGGACTGGGGTTCTCGTAAGCTGAAGAGGGTGGCCCGCTCAAGCTTATCGGCAGAGATCCAGGAGGCTAGCGACGCCGAGGGCGAGCAGATGACGGTACGACAGGTGCTGTACGAGGTGCTCTACGGGAGGTTTGATCTTCACGACCGCCACGGAGCTCTCCATCGCGTACCGGGTGCCCTCGTGAAGGGCTGCAAGGCGTTCTACGACGGCGTGGTGAAGTCCGAGTCGGCCAGGTTAGGCCTCGACGAGAGGCGGACGGCCATAGAGGCGCTCGCTTTGCGCCGCGCCCTCGAGGAGGGCGGCACCCTTGCACGCTGAGTGCACAGCCATGCTCAGCTGGCCGACGGCATGACCAAGGCCAGCCTCCAGGCGTTCAACGTGCCCCACGCCTTCCTGAAGAATCAGAGGTGGAAGATTGTCCACGACGAGAGGTTCCTCTCGGCGCGGAAGAGGTCTGCGCTCGGGAAGGGGATCTTCGACGAGACGACCGACACGGACCACTCGGAGGCAAAGAAGATCCTGGAGAGCAGGAGGCGCGATTGGACAGTTGCCAGTGACGTGGCGACAGCCGGAGCCACGGACAAGGGGCTCGAGCAGATCTCTTTTGCCCTTGTTTGATTGTGAAGGTGTTCATGTGAGGGGTCTGCTCGAGAGTCCGTCCGTTGCAGCCTTTTGGGCTCGGCAGTGGGCGGGCGGGTTCTTCACAGGAAGGCGGTGTTCCGCCTCAGACGGCGCGGGCACCGCACCGCCGCGATCGCAGGAGCAAGGTGCTCCACGTCATCATCATACGACGACGACAGTGACAGGGCTATCGGTGCCCTTGGATTCAGACTCTTGGGGCGTCTTCGGCGTCTTGGCGTCATGGGGGTCGTCTTGAAAGGCATCCGGAGCCATCGGAGCGCGCTTCCGAGCGTTCCGAAGCCATCTTCGGGCGATCTTGGACGGCCCCCGGCGCTCCGGCAGGGCTTTCGGCGCGCCGGGCCTCACATTTGTGGTCGGGGTCCCGGCCCCCGGCCCCCGGACCCGGTCCCCCGTTATATGTATGTATGTATGTATGTATACATACATACATACAGACAGACAGACATAACTACATACACGCATACACACATGAATGCATGCATGCATGCATATATACATACAACCAATGTTTATCCATGTAATACATACATACAGACATACATACATACGTGTATAAGGACATACATACATACATACATACATACATACATACATACAAACAAACAAACATACATACATACATACATACATACATACATACATACATACATACATACATACATACATACACATACATACATACATACATACATACATACATACATACATACATACATACACACATACATACATGCATATATACATGTATGCACACATACGTGCATGCAAACATATGGAAAGCTGCATGGCATGTATGTGATTATGTATGCATGTATGCATGTATGTCTGTATGTGTGTATGTGTGTATGTGTGTATGTGTGTATGTGTATATGTGTGTAGTTATGTGTATGTGTGTATGTATACATGTATGTGCGCATGTATATATATATATGTGTATGTGTGTATGCGTGTAAATGTGTATGTATGTATGTATGCATGCAGGCATGCATGCATGCATGTATGTATGTATGTATGTATGTATGTATATATGTGTGTATGTATGTATGTATGTATGTATGTGTGTGTATGTATGTATGTGTGTATGTATGTATGTATGTATGTAGGTAGGTAGGTAGGTAGGTAGGTAGGTAGGTAGGTAGGTAGGTAGGTAGGTAGGTATGTCTGTAGGTCTGTAGGTCTGTATGCGTGTATGTATGTATGTATGTATGTATGTAGGTAGGTAGGTAGGTAGGTAGGTAGGTAGGTAGGTATGTCTGTATGTATGTATGTACTTATGCATGTGCACCTATATATTATATACACATATACTGACACGCCACTGTGTCTCTAGCACGAAGTGGAGTGCCCCAAGGCTCATGCAGCCCTGAAGGGTAGAGTAAGGCTCTCAGTGGTCCAGACCTCAAGTTTCCCTGGCGGTCCCGCACGCTGTTGGGGCGTGTCGCGTGGGCCTCCGGGGCGGTCCCCTCGCTCTGGAGGGCCCTCAAACGGGCCAAGACAGCCACGAGAGGCCGCCCAGGCGGTCCCGGAGGGCACAGAATCGCCGAACGGTCGCTCCAAGACGCCCAAGACGGCCTCCAGACGGCCCGGGAGGCCTCGACGACGCCCCAAGAAGCTTCCAAGAGCTCTCCCAACAGGGCCCCAGGAGGCACGCATCACTGATTTTGGTAAGGTTTGGGATGATTTTCGCGTTCTCGCCTTTCTCCGTTTCCCGACGCTACAAGGCGGCCCAAGAGACCCCAATATCGCCCCAAGACAGCCGAAGAGACCACCGAGAGGTCTTCAAAATGTTGACACGGACGTTCTGAACACGGTACGCGTTGCGTTTCAAAGCGGGCGCCTCAGGGCAGCTGAGCCGCACGGGCCAGAGCGGCCCGGCACCGCAGGGCGGCCGAGTGAACGGGTGGCCCGCCCAGTGACTCCAGCTCGGAGTGCGGCCGAAGCATGGCCACGGGAGCGTGGATCAGGAGCGCGGACGCCCCGCGCCAGGGGCCCCCTCGCCGTCCCGAGACGGAGGGCCCAGCACGAACAACAGGACGGCATCCCTCCAAGGCGCTGCCTGGGACGGGGCCTTCTGCGAGAAGCCCCTCGACGCTCCCGACGCCGCCGCGCCGCCCATCGACGCCCTCGACGCCCTGGTGATGGGCCAATTTTGCACCACCACTAACATAGGTAGGACAGGGACGAGGAGGAGGAGGAGGAGGAGGAGGAGGAGGGGGAGGAGGAGGGCCATTGGGGGCCCGAATCCGCGCCGCCCCCCCTTCGGCCCTCGGCGGCCACAGGGTCGGGCAGCCGTGCGGGCCGGCCCCAGGCGCGCGCTTCCCAGCAGGCGCCGCGATTGTTGAGGAGGGCTGCCCGAACGAGCGGCGGCCCTTTAGCAAGAGACGTGAAGAAGACATCCGCACCTTCGGCCCCTCCGCAGCTCGCCGCCTCGCGCGACGCAGACGCCGCGACGCCACAGAGGCGTGGCTGCGGTCGCATCCGGAGAGGGAGCCCACACCAAGTACATCGTTGCTTAGATCCCCGTCCACACCGCCATAGACGTTGGCCAGCAGACCGAAAGGATGCTGGAGGAGTTCTGGGGACAGCGCTGGATGCCAGACGTCAGTGGCAGTATCGGTCAAGAAGCGATGGCAGTGGCAGCTTGCAGGGGAGACGGCAGTGGCAGCAACGGTCAAGAAGCGGCGAGCAGTGGCAGCACGCGAGAAGAGGCGGCAGTGGCAGCAGGAGGCACAGGCGTCCGTGGCGGCAGTGGGAACACGCGAGACGAGGCGGCACCCGACGAGATCAGCTACATCGCGGGAGTCGCATACCCCACTGGTGCCCGCCTGCAGGAGGCGGTGGCCGGGGCATTGCGAGCAGCTCTCGCTCGCCGCGCCGCCGCGACTGAGTACAGAGGCAGTGGCAGCGGGCAGCGGCGCCTAGAGGCAGAGGCGGCAAGAGGCAGTGGCAGCGGGCAGTGGAGCGAACCCAACACCACCAGCTACAATGCAGGAGTGGCAGCCGGCAGTGGAGCGAGCAGCGGGCAGTGGCAGCAGGCAGTGGCAGCGGGCAGTGTCGAGTGCAGGGGGAGTGCCGCGACCCTCGACGACCTCCCTTCGACGCCCCCTGACCACGCCCCCCGACTGCGCCCCGCGACGACGCCCCCCGACGACCTCCCTCGACTCCCCTCGCCCCCACTCGACGACTACCCCAGACGCCCCTCGACGCCCCTCGACGACCCAGAGCCCGTCGATGCGCAGTGGCAGCCGACGGCCGCCCCGAACAAGGCCGAGGTGCCTTGCCAGAAGAGCGCCAGCGCCGTCCACCAGCCGCCCGAGGTGCGGCGGCCCAGAGGCCGAGGCCGGGCTCCCCCGCTGCAGGCGGGCGCTCGGCCGCAGCCCAACGACCTTGGCTGCCAAGCCTTGCTGCCCTGTCAGAGCGACCACAATACCGCAGTCCGGAGGGCCATGCCGAGAGCGAGAGGCAGGCCTTGCAAAAAAAAACGCAGGGTTTTTTTTGCAATCCTAGATTTTTTTTTGCAATCCTTCGGGCAGATGCCGCCCGTGCGGCGCGGTGAAGTTACAAACCAGAGCCTTGCGCGCGCCAAGTGTGCTGAACCTGAGCGCGCGCTTAGCGACCAACGCAACAGAGTTTTTGATTCTTTTCTCGCTCAAGAGCACGTGGCGCAGCTGCACGAAGCATCGTCGAGTCTCTCGCCAGGTGCGCCACCCGACGTCGCTAGCCTCAGTGCTGGGGTCAGCGCCTGCGAGAATCAGGAGGCGAAGATAGCGCCTGCGAGCCTGCGAGAACAGGCGGCGGCGGCGGGCAGTGGTGCGAGCAGTGGCAGCGGGCAGTGGCAGCCAGCCTTCGACGACCCCCAACGACCCTCGACGACACTCAACGACCCTCGACGGCACTCGACGACCCTCGTTTCCGTCCAGGACGACTCCGACAGCGACGCCGACGACGACGCCACGCCCCAGGGACACCATGTCCGACGGCGTGACCCCGCCCCCAGGGACGCCAACGAACGACGCCCCCCCGTCCCTTGACACCCCCCGACGCCTTTCGACGGCCCTCGTACGTACCTCGACGCCCCCCGACGACCCCACGCCCGACTCAGACGGCCCAGCCGACGACGACTCCGTCCTGGAGGACTCCGACAGCGACGCCGACGACGACGCCACGCCCCAGGACTCCATGTCCGACGGCGTGCCCCCGCCCCCAGGCCCCATCGATGAGAACGAGGGCCGCGAGCAGTGGCAGCGGACAGCGGGCAGTGGAGCTAGCAGTGGCAGCCAGCAGTGGCAGCCGGCAGTGGAGCGAGCAGCGGACAGCGGCGCGTGCAGTGGCAGCGGGCAGCGGCAGCCTGCAGCGCGAGAAGAGGCAGTGGCAGGGGCAGTGGCAGCCTGCAGTGCGAGAAGGGGCAGTGGCAACGGTGCGGGTAGCGTACAGTGGCAGCCTGCATTGGAGCTAAGTGGTGTGACGCAGTGGAGCGAGCGGCGGGCAGCGGTGGTGCCAGTACAACCAGAAGGACCCAGTCAACCAAAAGGACCTAGACAACCAGAAGGACCCAGAGAATCAGGAGGAGGACCTAGACAACCAGAAGGAGGTCCCAGACAACCAGAAGGGGAACCTAGACAACCAGTAGGAGTACCCAGACAACCAGAAGGAGGACCCAGTGCACCAGACGGCGA